CTTGGAGACCGACAAGCGCAGCGAGGTGTTACGTGCCGTCAGTACCATTTTGACTGATGTTATCAACTCTGCTATTTGGTTAAAGTGGTCAGTATGATTTAAATTTGTTTCTGTCGTACCTGCTGAAAGAATATTCCCATATACTCAGAGAATCCACAATCTAGAACTGCAATAGGCACTTTTTGTTAAGGTGTGACATGAACAAGAACTTATTCCTATTGTTATGCAATGATCTGGGTTTGACTTATGACACCGCTCTGGACTATGAAGATTTAGTGCTGTCAAAGGTAATAAGTCATTTCGAGTGTGAAGTGTAGTTTCCAAATACGCAGTTCCAGCGTCCGCTAGCTTACGAAATCTTTAAAAGTGGCAAAAGAAATGAGCAACTGTCGTCAGATTTAGGCCTGCGGTTGGAAATATACCGCTGTTTACAGATGGCTGGGAGTCCTAATGAGGTACGCTGAGGTTATCATAAATAAGCTTCATTGGATTGCCCGAGCACTCTTTCCGAAAGGTGATTAGCAAACAGTTCTTCTGGAAAATCGGGAGGCTTCTCTCACTTCTTTACATCAAGAAGTAACGCTTGGACACATTTGAATGGGAGACGGTGAAAGGACGGTTTTCAAATAAACATCGTTTTTAACCTGTCAATGCGAGCAGCGGACTTCATGTAAACCCCGTCTGCGTCGACACTCATTACTGTTTTCGGTCCTTAATTGCATGTTGTCGCCATCTACTGCCTGAAACGCCTCCCTTTGCCGGGCGGAGGACGTCGGCACGCAGACGCCCAGACAACGCGGGAATGTCACGATCCTCTTGTCACAGTACACCATTTTTGATTGCGGGGTTGGAGGCAAATGTTACGTCCACTTGGCCGAAGAATGAAACCAACCCCGGAAAATGCCTGATGTGTGCCCTGGAGGCGTCGGCATCAAGAGGCGGGACACAGTGCTTGCGTCCGTTGACGGACACCAGGCCGCATTTGCTTCAGACAGATGATAGCGTATCCGTGTCGAGGTGATACGCACCGCTAAGAGGGAATACCACGCAGGGGGCAAAGTTTTGTCCAAACTTACTTCAAAAGAAGAATTTTGTTGAAAGTCGAAATCAAAATAGGGTCCGGTGGTGCAGTTAAGAGTAAACTGGAATTCCCAGTTCACGATGGGCATGCCCTCCTTGTATACCCACCCCTAATCGGTTTACCTCATCCTGACCATTGAATCCAGCATCTTGGACTAATTTTTTTGTCCTCCCGTTCTTGAGTGTCATGAGTCGCAAGTAGCTCCAACGGGTTCATGTTTCGCGACCTACCCTTAACCCTAATTATATGTGAGGGAGTGTGAGAGATTTTTGAAGCTGCACTATTTAGTTTTTGTTTTCAGTTCTTTAAATTCATGCTCAATTTCGCAGTTGAAGACTTGGAATGTTGTAGAGCTGAACGCGATATCGCTTGTGTGAGTTGCTCTGAGTGTTTTGTATGGGGAAACGCAGCTGCGAGCTTTGAATTGCAGATACTCGATGTGTTGTGCATTAATCGACAGTTTCTTGATTCCAAAGAGCAGGAACTTGTCGCACTTGTTCGACATAAAATTGCTGGAGAGTGGCGAATGTATGTAATTTTTCGATTTTTTCGTCGTTTTGTTATTTCTATAGACTGTAACACTATATTTTTTTGGAACTGAGAGCCAGGTGTTGTGTAACTTCTAGCTTCGAATCAGCCAGTCTCGAAAACTTACGTCAGCATAACGTACCTGCAATTCAGGCCGGAAACAATAGCGATGGCTTATCGCCTTCTTGTTTTCGTCTCTACGGAAGAAGCGCCTTCATCAGATGAGCTAGAATGGATAAAATCGTGTGCCAACGCCGAGGAAGAGTTACCGAAACGAATCGCTCTGGAAGTTGGAGCACATCGCCTTCGACGAGGTGAGAAAAGTCTTCGACGAGGTGGGGAAAACCAGCTTCGTCGGAGTCGCCTTTTTGATGCTGGTCATAGCCTCCGTGCCGTGCT